TAAGTATCAACGATAAATTACCGATAACTGGACACTATTACTCGTTCTCTCCTTCAGACAAGTAATCAATCTTTTGCCTTTCTCACATCCATCCACCCAATCCACATAAAAAGTCATCAACAACGAATTTCATCCCTTCTCGTTATCGCTCTTAAAAATTTAAATAACAACACAAACGGCAATTGTTATCAGTCGATAAGAAGTCCAAACATATTACTGTGATTAGAAAATCAGATATGTGTGGCAGAAATAGATGATAACTGTGATGTGTTAACAACAAAAACCAAATGAAACCAAATAAATAAATGAAATNCGCAGTTAGATCAACAACAGATTGGTATTTTTACCAAATAAAAGTTTATATTATCCGACAGGTGGGGTGAAAAGATCTAACAGATAGGAACTGCGATGAAAGTGACAAAAGATGAACAATAAAACATTTGCACAATCTTTGCTAGTTAAAAATTGTAACAATTAAAATGAAACTTATTAATCTAATTATCTGGACGAAAAGGAACGAATAAACAAAGGTACGGAAGATAATTGATCAGAAGAAGTCTCGGATTCCTTCAAATGTTAAGAAAAAACAACCCTACAGTATAAAAAGACTTGAATTTAAGCAATTTTCTCAGGAAAACTACAAGCTATCCTAATTACAAATTATCCTTCGATGTTACCTGTTGCTATTTTGTACAACAATTTAATAACAAAGAATTTTACCACTGTATGGCATAGACAGGAAATCTTTTCCTTTCGTTATTGCTATTTTGGTTAAACAAATCCATCTTTTTCCATAAGTTCGCTGCTCAATTCAAATTAAATAAAATATTCCTTTGCAAATGTGTCCTTCAATGGGGAATGAAAAACAAAGGATATTTGCCAAAAATAACAAATCAGTCAGATAAACAGCAACTATAGAATTAATTAGTCTTTCATGAAGTTTTGCATGAAACTGAACTTTTTTTCTTCCAAATACTCATTGCTAGAGGATGTATGTAAGGGCACGAACAAAACTATTAATTTAAGAAGTTTGTTAATGAGCTCAGAGGAGAGTAAAATATGTTAGTGACTTATTTACTTTTCATTCAATTTAAAGCCATTAATCAAATTCAGATGATTCAGCATAAAGTTTTCAAATACGTATAGATATCGACAAACACTTCTAATAGAAAATGACAAAATACGGTAAAAAAAAATATCTCACTTTTAAATATTTTGATTTGTGAAGTTAAATACGAATATCTTTCTTGTCAATAGATTTAAATTTTAAAATTAAATACGTTTTCATTTTCATCGGAAACGACACAATCATACTGTTATTTGTGAGAATATAGATTGAAAAAGACAAAAAATGTACCTAATGAACTTCATATTGTAAACTTGATATAACTGTCGAATACGTTTAATTATGAGTTTTTCGAATTTCATGGAGGTTACTGCAATGCTCATTTAAAAAAGTGACATTTACCGCAGTAGTTTTAAGTATCGAATGTTGAAATGCATCTGAAAATTCGTCGACAATAAAATTTGTAATGAAATCATTTCTTCTAACTGCAAGTAATTATCATATTTAAAATAAAACTAAACGTTTTAAATGTGCACCGATACAAATAATTTTTCCTAACATATTTTACGCCAATAGAAACAACAAAATCATCACTTGAAAAAGAGATCAAATGTGAATGGAAAATTAAGCCTAATGTTGATAATCTAATTTGGATTTCGCGGATGAGAACTAGCTTTATTCACGAAATATATAAGAGCTACCAGTTCACAGCTTATGGCCTGCATAATTTTCGCAAAAACAGCCAAAATTTTATTTGTGAAAATCTAAAATTCAAAATTTTGAACTATTTGGCTAATTTCTAAGATAATCAAATTTAAGATAACAACTAAAGATTCAGCCAACATATCACACCAAATTACCAATACTGAATTTATGAAAATAGTCGAAGCCTAAATTTCAAAAATCTTTAAACGCTTGAAACCTAAGTTTAAAATTTCATGGAGCGGAATGAAATATCCGTTCTTCCCATGCCGGGAATCGAACCCGGGCCGCGTGGGTGAAAGCCACGAATCCTAGCCACTAGACCACATGGGATACACTGTCGGAACAGCACGCTTAAGCTGAAAAAACTAGAAAATCAAATTTGTAAAGTGGAACGAGGTAATTTACTCATTGCATCGCGGATTAAGTCTGGACTACGTGGCTGGAAAGACTAGAAATTGTCAACCAATAATCACCAAACAATGATAATTGCTCGAAGTAATTGAATCTTTGCGAATAAATAAAAGTAAATCAACGCTCGTCAAAAAGGATTAATTGGAATTAAACAGAAATTAATTCCACAACAACAATAACATAAATAGAGACAGCAGGAAATGATAGTGGCTGCATTAAATACTCGCGATTCGACGTGGAATTTGACGGTCGTGTTGACGTTGTTGACGGGTCGACATCTCCATGGACTTTTTTGCAAATCTTCTCTTACTTCATACATCAATAATAGAATGTTCATTGATTATTGATACATAAGATAAGAGAAGAAAACGACTCGTTTAATTATTTGTTGAGTTATTTTGTCTCAAAAAAGATATCTTACTTTTTCCACCCAGAGTACATTTACGTGTGTTACTTACTGTTTATTTTACAAATTATTACATATTATGAATGCATAAAAGTTAATATGTTCGAGTTACAAATTTGCTTGTCTTTTTTTGCTTCTTCAGTTTTTGCTGAATCTTATGCAGTCTCTTCCAAGAACTACCACGAGGTGGCGAAATTCAAATAGCACATGATGCTTCGTACAGCATTTTGTAAGTTTATTACGGGATCTTTTTCAGAAAACGAGACAGATTTTAGGAATTTGTTGGAAGTCCCTATCCTTTTCAAGAGGGACAATATTGTGAATTAAAAATATTATTTGTCTTGTCTATTCTGAAATACTTTTTAAAAGATAAGTTGTCGAGTGACAAAGATAAGATTTGTCTACTGATAAGATTATCCAACAGTAAACTTGTTGAGTGATGGAAGGTTCTCTGACGCCAAAGTTCCAACATAATAAAATGGCAAAATTATGTAAATTAAGGAAAGGAATGTGGAAAAGGAGACGGATAAATGATAAAGAAATAAATTTTTGAAGAAAATTTCACAATGTTTTTAAAAGCTTAATTTCTCTCTATATTCTGTTCTTTTACGTATCTGTGTGTTGTGGAAATTTTTAGGTGTTGACATTTTTTATGTCAGTCATTCTCAAATTTTTAAAATTTATGATTTCCTTCTTGCTCAAGTAATATTTATTATAGTAGTGGAGAAGTCTTCACGTGTGCTCTTCCGTACCTCTGCATTCAGCGAGAAGTTTAATGAACTTAAAGGTGGATTATTTCGTGCCGCTCAGTCATCACGAAAACGAAATGTTGCAATGGAGGACGTAATTGAAGAGGTTTTTTTCCAATTACTGAAAGTTGAAATAATGTATATTATCATGTATGAAGTGTTATTAATGATGGAATACAGTGTGAACTTAAATAGACTTATCACTGCCCTAATTAATTTTCAAGGGTGCTGGAAAGGTCAAGAATGGAACTGTATACATCCATTTTTTTGGAGGTGAGGAGATATGCATTCCATTAGTGAGATTCAGACATGCCGTGACTAAATTTTTTATTTTTGAATATATGGTTGATTTCAGACTCGTGCCATGTTAGAATTTGGCTTAACACGTGAACATCTTCAGAATCTGCCACGGAAGGAGCTTTTTCCAAAGAAAGCAATCTATAGTATAGAAGATGTTTACCACAAAGCATTGCAGGTTTATGTTTGTTAATAGAGCAGTTTTAGTGAATTTCATTTTAGTGTTTTTTAAAAAAATCTTATGATTTTTTTAGGTACATGGTAGTGAAAGAGGTATACATCAAAGAATGCAGTTATATCAAAAATATTTATACCAAAACCCATTATTTGAGGAGCGGAGACAAAAGAAGAGCCAATCTACTTCGTTTGCTGCAGAAGTAGTTACACTTCAATTTAAGCACATTTTTTTTATTTAGAAAAATCTTCAGTTTTACATGTAGTTATCAGATGAATCTCCTTTTCACTTTTTCAATGAAGAGTAATTTTAAGTCACCATATATTCTGTTTAGGATGCTGCGAATGCTGTGAAGATTGCACTGGGCACAAATTTCCTTGACGTTTGCTTCAAATTATATGGTGCATTTATTACTGGTTCGTTTAGAACATTTCCATCATTCTATACTGAACTTTGAATCGTTTTGCTTAAATAATTTGCTCTTTGCTTAGAGATAAGGAAGCAGGATATCCTGGAGTAAAAAGATTAAAAGTAAATTTTAATATTTGGAATGGAAAACTTGTGTAACTTTGTGGAAGCAGTAGGCTGAGAATTTTAAGCCCTTATCACTTCATTTGATGAAGATGTACTCGTCATTTAGGATCAAAAAGCTTAGCTGCTGAAGGTTTGCATAGTTCCCTGGATTTAACCAATCAAATTATCCTGATGTATGGAATACGATGGTCGAAACTGAACCCCACACCAACTTACCCTTATGGTTACGGCAATGCACGATATATTGCTTCGCTGATTAGTGGTTGCTGGCTTTTTGGATTCGGTGGTGGAGTTTCGTTGTATCATGGCGTTACCGGCCTGCTTCATCCTCACGCAATCGAATCACCATCATGGGCAAGTTTGTAAAGAACTTGTGACTAAGACTTCTCAAAGGCATCAGATTTTTTCATTGTAAAAATATTGAATAAAGGCAATGTAACTTATAGCGGTCCTATAGAGGTTAATAGATATAGAACCATTGATAGGTAAAGAAAAAGAATACCTAATCATATGCACGTAGAAAACATAATGCGAAAACTATGCTTTTCTATTAGTTATTAGCAATTCTAATAGATAAGGACCACTAATAGCTAATAGAAAAGCATAGTTCATACTAAGATTAGAAGTTAAGCTAGCTTTCCAGATGGCCAGGATTCACCTAACTCCTTAAAAACTTTAAAATTAAATTCCTGTCTACTTTTTATTTTTTCATTTCACGAATTCTGATAAAGCACTGATTATAGATTTCAGGCATTTATCACTTTAGCAATATCTTTTTTACTACAAGGGTCATCAGCATCATATGCATGGTGGAAAGTACGGCGGAAAGCGAAACAATGTCGCATGTCCTTCATTGAATATGGTCATTTAAAGTTTCAATCTTTAAAATTTAATGTTTTTTGATATACAGCACAACTAGAGTTATTCTCCAAGACATAACCACATTTTAAGTCAAATTAGAGGATTGTCGGTTATGCTAGATGCAGCAGTTTAGCTGTCCTC